GGTTTTGGTGTTTTGGAGGGTTGAGGTGTGGGGGAATGGAGGTTCTTTTGATTTTGATTTTTGCTTTCGGACTTAGTGTTGAGTTTGTAGATGCTCTGTGTTTTGGTTTGTGCTTTGGGTTTTGGTGAGGTTGTTTTGTTTTGCTTGTGATATGGGTTTCGGCATGGTTGATTTGGGGTGTGCTTTCAGAATGGGTTGAAAACCATAGGGGGGAGTATAGCATTTGGGATGTGGGGTATGCCTATGCTTGCTACTTTGTGCTATGCCCCGGGGTTTTCTGCGCTGTTGTAGCTGGCTGTGCACCTGCAAGTGACGCCTACACCTATTGGTCCCTTTTCCGGCAAAGTTTGTGCGACAACCTGACAAGTGGTTGAAGGAAAAGCCGGATGCCGACATCACCAAAACAGATGCACATGCAGGTGGAGAATTCTCAGTATTCCACAGCGCCGTCTATGCATTGTCGGTACGACAATGAAGGCAAACATATCCCTCGAGCAAGCCCTGTTGGCCTCACCCATCTCCGACCGAAACGCCGGCTATGGATATTACCCGGACAGATGCAAGTAAAAATCTCAGTGCGGAAGAGACTACCCGTACCTAAACTAATCAGTTCCGGCGTTGTGACCTGTCGGAGTAATCTTCCGAACCCCAGCAGTCTACTCTCGCCGCTGCTCGAATCCGAAAAGGGGGGCAGAGAGCGCACGCTGACTCTTCGAAGCAAGAAGGAGGACAAAGAGTGGGGCACGTAGGGAAGCAGGCAGAGAAAGGACGGAGGGCTGCAGAGCCAGACGGAGATATCGAGAAAGGTGGGACAAGTGTGCGCTGAACGATGTAGGGCTTCGTGAGTGTGAGCTTCGAAACGGGGCAAATCGGATTCGGGTGAGGGACACATCTTAAGTCATAATTCGTACAGACTAAGTGAAGCCATCTGGCACGACAACATCCGAGTCCCTTCAGTGCCTGGGTAGTTCTCTGGCTACGCAGGAAGTACGACATGGCACCCTAGTCCACCGGCAACACAGATGCCACGAGAATACCGAGGAGCATGCAGCAAGGACTGTCCTAGCAGCTTCGTGATCAGCTTGCAATTACCAAATGTGCACCTGTTGAGGACTCGGAAGTTGGTGGCTTGATCCGTCTTGCCATTCGACAAGCCGCACCAAAGACGGAGGCAGTGCATGCAATCACTGACCAAGCAAAGCTGATGGTTCGTGGCGAGGCTTGGCTTCCAGAGCTATCACTGGACTGATGACGAAGTGCCATCTGAGCAATTCATCCTGCTTGCCTTGACGAATCTCGCTTAGTCTTGCTTTGTCCATAAGGCTTCAACCTGCTGGCGACATGCGTTGCCCACTTGTGCTCGTGGTCCTCATAGTCAGCCCACAGTAGTTGTACCATACCAGGTTTAGTTAGAGGCGTTCTCAACTCATGTTGCGTCTCAAAGGCTGCATTTATGTTGGGCCTCCTGCCCTGGAGCAGGGTTCAAGAGTTGATGCCATGCAATCGTGATGGGCATGGTGGTTAGCTGTCCAAGACTTGCCCAGTCTACTTTGCACATACGTAGTACCCAGAAAGTTGTTGCTTCTGTCGTGTGTCGCCTTGCGCTCTCCTTTTTTGGGGGTGTGCTGTTACCCGCTACGGGTGCACCGCCTTTACGTCTCTATTGCAGGGTCACAGCTATATCACCTATGCATGCCTTGCATAGTTGGAGACAGGCACAATTCTCACTGATCCATGGTTTACTTGCGGACGCAAAAGCTTCGGGTTCATGTGCACCTGAGAATGCTCAGTGCTTATTCATGTGCCGCCGCCCTTCTCGCATTCAAAGATGCGTCATAAACACATTTGGTTGGTGGCGTTCTTTTGAGGTCCCATTACCGGCAGGCAGTCGGCAACAGGCTTGGGTCGAAAGTACGCTCTGCCCTGTTTAGAATCTGAGGCAGCGCCCCAAGTGTTGTTTGACATTAGGTGGAATACGAAGAGCAAGATCTAGAGCCAGAGTGCTGCGCCCAGTCATCTTGCCGATGCACCAAGCTGTGGTTGATGCTAATTCCTACATCGCCTGGTTGGCTGAGCGGGTCACGGTGATTGGGAGTGCCAACGGATCTTCAACATTACCAGGATGTAAAGATCAACGCGAGAAGCGTAAAATTCAGCAGGTGGGTTTTCGCCAGGTCCTGGTGGCCACGGTAGTCGTGAAGCCTCCACAGGCGGCACTTGATATCTTTCCCCGCCCGATCCTGGATTAACACAATTGGGGAATCACCGGCGGCTGAAAAGTGGGGGGGCTGTCGGTCGGGTGGCAAGTTGGATGATGGGAGCTGGACAATCGAGCGAACAACAGGACATGAGCGATCGCTGGACTCTGGACAGCGGTTTCAACCGCTCTGCTTGTGATTCGGGCTTCTTCCTGTACAGAAACCCTGAGGTATGTGGAGCGGATTGTTGAAGTACCCCGGGTTCGAGTAGACCACGTTGAAAGGATCGTCGAGGCCAAACCCAATGCAGATTGCTGGGTTGGGGCTTGCTTCGGACCGCAAAACATGTGCAGGTACCCGAAATCCAGATGGTGGACAGAATCGTGGAAGTTCCTCAAATTCAAGATGCCGCGGCCTGAAGTCTGCCCTCCACAGAGCATATACGGAGCCAGACAAATTTGAAGTCTGTTAATTGCGAATTCACAGTAAGAAGGTTATGGAAGCAGATGGGAGATATGGAGGCCCCATTATCCAGTGTCGCAGAATTGTCATCATTTCGCGATTTTTGCCAGGACAGGGGCGTGGAGGATTTGGCTTCGGCGGAGCTGGCATGGGCGGAGGCCCAGGCTACGGGCCTGGAGCGGGATACGGTCCAGGTGATGGTGCGGGATGTGGTCGTGGTGGTTGTGGGCCAGGAGGATACGGACCTGGCAGCTACGGACCTGGTGGAGGCTGTGGGCCTGACGGCTGGGGATCTGGTGGCTATGCACCAGGAGGATGTGGGCCTGGCGCCTACGGACCCTGTGGTGGTTGCGGACCTGGTGGTGGCGGGCCTGGTGGTTGCGGACCCGGCGGTTGCGGACCCGGCGGTTGCGGACCCGGCGGTTGCGGACCTGGTGGTTGTGGGCCCGGCGGTTGTGGACCTGGTGGTTGCGGTGGACCTGGTGGTTACGGTGGGCCTGGTGCTTGCGGTGGGCCTGGTCCAGGTGGTTACGGTGGGCCTGGTGGTTGTGGACCTGGTGGTTGCGGTGGGCCTGGTGGTTGTGGACCTGGTGGTTGCGGTGGGCCTGGTGGTTGTGGACCTGGTGGTTGCGGGCCAGGTGGGTACGGGCCGGAGGGAGGTGTTAACTTCGCTTTTACAGGCGGTGCTGTTGATGTTGGCTCATCCACTGGAAGATATCCATACTACGGTGATGAAGGCTCGCCTTGTGTGCCAGGTTTTGGTCCATGTCTCAGACAGCAGTGCAGCAGTTTTTGCAGGCGCCTCACGCTTTGGTGGCGGTGGAAGCTTCGGTGGAGGAGGCTTTGGCGGAGGAAGCTTTGGCGGAGGTCCTTGTGGGCTGTCTGGAGGACCTGGTGGGTTCGGAGGTGGCGGAATGGGCGGCATGGGCGGCTATGGCCCGGGCAGAGCAGGGCCTCGAGGCAGCCAACCCCGCAGTCCCTTCCGGTTCAGTGCCGCGAAAGCTTTTGCCTTTTTTCAGGCTTGGGGGCGGCCGGAAGAGGCAATTTGCCGGTGAAAGTGATCACCCGGGAGGCTCTACCTGCGTGGCAGACAGGGATGCAGTCGGGGCATGTTTGGCAGGTCCCAAAAGTAGAAGTCAAGCAGGTGGAAAGGGTCATGGAGGCGGGCTTTCCGTTGATCCTGGGTTTTGCACCGGCCAGCATCTTTATTGTCCCAAGGTTCCCAACATAGAGTACGAGGACCGTCTGGTGGAAGTTCGAGAGGCTCAGATCCTTTGCCCATGCCTGTCATCAACGAATTTGGCTCTGAAGTGTTTCAGGGACTGGCGGGACTGGGCCTTTGTGCATTCTCGGTTTAGTCTCCAATCTCTTTTCCTTGTCACAAGCTCCGGGTCTGGAGATCGGCAGGAAGGGTCACGACAGCCATGGCAGCCAAGACAATCAGAACGGGTCTGTCCTGCAGCCACTTTCCCACGAAGTGCGAACTCGGGTCCACCGTTCGACCGATGACGAAGCCCGTCCGAGAATAGTTTTTAGCAGGACCGCCTGCTGCACTGGCTATTTAGCTATTTCGGTCGCCGGGCTTTCATTGCTTAGTACCATAGCCCGTTCCCTCATGTCAACGCTCAGAGGCTCGATCTACATCACCCCTGGGCCTTTCTCTATCTCCGTCTCATCGCCGCTTAGCAAAGCTTTGTGGGTGGCCATAAGGCCATAGGAAGACCAACAAGAGTTGCTGCGATCTGCTGCAGACTCCGGGCGGGAGCCTCACGGTATCCGTCATTTTCCTATTCTAATCTCCCGACAGCTATGTCAGTACACTGAGAATGCTGAGGCTGAGTTCTTGTTCTTTACGTTTGGGGGATCAACAGCATATGCCACACGAAGCCCGGAACCTCCATGTCCAGGTCCACCCCTCAGGAGTCTGTTCCACCAAATGCCAAAAGCACCGCGCAAAGAAGGACACAAACAAGATCTGGCTTTCTGGCACATGGCTCCGTGTGTAAGCATGTGTAGAGCATGCAGTAGGGCGGTAGTACGACAATGATGGAATCGTGCTGGAGAGAAAGAGGAAGAGAGAGAGGGAGAGTCAGGAGAACAGAACGACGGAAATCCTTGACAGGTCCGTGAGGTGGTTCGACGTGTCCCGCGCATAGAAGTTCGAGAAATCCCCATTGAGAGGGTAATTCAGGCGGGGCAGGCTGCTTCATATTCTCGCAAAGAAAAGCATCGACGATTGCTGCAGGTACCCAAGAAAATTGTTCAGGAGGTGGAGACGCCTGTGTATCGTCCAGTGCCACATCTGGTGCAGGGCTTGTGCCATTTAGGGATATTCAGGGATTCTTTGTTGTGTTTCGGTACGTTTAGCCCGCGAACTTCTGCCCTGATGCGAGGTCAAGCAACAGGTGGAAAGGGAAATTCCCATACCAAAGCCATATACACAGACACTGGAGGTCGTGAAGCAGGTGGGTTGTGAGCTTGAGTTTTTGCACTCGTAGCCTATCGAAACATTACCCGGAAGGTGTCAGTTCCAACCAACGAATCTGGTGCTGTTCTGGCGCAGTCTTCGGTGGCACCACAGACAGCACAAGTTGCATCAGTGCCACCCGCAGTGGTGCACGCACCCAGCGTGAGCAGAACGTATGCGCTACCTGCCGTCCCCAGCACAGGATCTGCTACCCAGCTTGAACACAAGAGAAGCTTGTGAAGAGAAACATCAGGAGCCTCTTGGAGGAGTTTTGACAAACCGAGGCTTGCATGAGTACTCCTACGGACAAGACACCCGTGGCGACGGTGGCGCCTTCTATGCCTTATGCCGGGCAGATGCAGACCTTGCCAGCCCAGGCTTGGCATCACGTAAAGTAGGTTCTAAAAGGTTCTAAGTTAACAAGGACATTTCACCGCCGTCACTGCCTCTTTCCCTTCCACCGGTAAGACGACTATAGGGTGGAAGGATGTTGAAGGGTTGTTTGCAGGCATCCTTCAAATCGCAAGGTGCCTCCAAGTGCGGTTGGCGCTGCGACACCTCCCGCAATGTATCCTGCTTCGGCAGTCGAGCTGGCACGTTCTGATGATCTCGGTTTGCAACAGAAGGAGACTTCCACGCTGAGCTGCTTGTGGTTGCAGATACAATTCCTGAATCCAGTTACTATGGAGAGCAGCGATGCCCTGCCAGCTGGCAACTTCCAGTACGGCCGGTCGCAGCATGTGTGTCCAGCACTTGGAAGTGCTCGGACATGGGCCGTGCTTATAGGCTTGATAGGTCCGATCGGTTCATGTGACGTATCAGTTGCCCGACAGTGCGAGGCGTCGGTGGGCTCCATGGCACCCGGCACCGTGCAGACAGGCATCGTCGCGCCTGCCGTCGTGCAGCACTCGGCTGGGTGATCTACTTATGGCTAGATGCTGTTTCATCTCCTGGCGTGCGCCCATTAGCCTGGGCTGTCAGGCTTCGATGGCACCGCCCGCGCTGCCATCGCAGCCGATTCAGACATACACTCAGGGAAGCATCGCCTACCCGGCATACCCGTCGGTGATGGTCGTCTGCCTGGCCTGTTGCAGAATGCTCGCTGGTTGCTCCGGGGCTTTGCGAATTCCGCAGGCATCGGCTGGCGGAGCTAGTGCAGTTGGAGCCTCGAAGCAAAGTCAAGTTTTGAGGAGAGAGTGTTCTTGGAAGCAAGGCTGGCGCCGCGACTCCGCCCATGCGGCTACCTGCATGTTTTGCGTTGAGTCGACCATGTCATCGCCTCGCGGCCGCGCTGTGCTAACATGCTTTTGGTCCTGCATGGCAGGGCACCCAGCTCTGCGGTTCTCCAGGGGACAGGCTTCAATTGCAAGCTGACGCAAGCTTGCTGTGAAGATCTACCCGGCACATCCAGGCAACCTTTCACAGGCTGCGAATCCCTTTGCTACCGTGTTGCTGCCCAAGTCGATTGCAAGTAGGGCTGTCCGCATCTGACATGATATTCGAGGCAAGGAGGCCTCGTGCCACAAGCACAGGCTGCTTGGATTCCAGTGAGACCAAAACTGCCCGGAACTTGACTGCGGAAAGCTTCCGAGCTCAGGCCGGCAGCGACCTTTTCAGCAGGCTCGATGCTGATGGCAGCGGCACCATCACGCGAGAGGAGTTCGAGAAGGCAGG